TGTACCTCCAAAAATGTTTGAGATAACCCTTTCATCCGGATGTGTATAACCGAGAACCCGTACTTGATCTTTCCCATAAAAACAAAAACATATACCCATAATTAGGGTAAAAATACCTACCTCTGGAAACAAAAATTCAGAAAATCTAATCATTTTTTACTATACTATAGTTGTTCCCATATTTCTTTTTTTTTTTTAGAAATCAGTACTTCCCAAAATATGTGTTTCTAAAGTTTAAAAGAAAATCCATTTTATGCCCTCAGCCTTATGACTATTGACCAAATCCGTTTCACACAATTTTTAGTCGATTTACAAATGTCTGGCCGACTGGTGCGCACGATAAATCTCGAAGGGAGTAACCGATTTCATCCCAAAGTTACATATCGTAATATTTCTCCCAAACGTTCAAGTTCGAAGATGCGACCGTACTATTCGATTTGAACCAAACTTTGCTCAACTAATTATCTTTACCAATCCTAGATCAAGACCGAAGATGTGGACCCTTTGGTCAACTCCTTCTGGTACCTCCCCCACAAAGGGTCCGATTTTTCACCAAACTTTACACAACCTAATATCTTTACCAAACCTGGATTATTTTAACCTAGAATTCATAGAGAACCCCGCAAGTGACAGAGCGAAAAGGATTGTGCTACGTCACATAAGGGCACTCCGAGCCGAGGAGTTACCAACACAATTTACGAAGAAGGCACTACTCCTCCCATCAACATGGATTCCGTAAGATGCACAGCATAACAACCGGACAGCATAGATATCGTAATGTATGCGAATGATTGTACGATTATGGCGTTCCATTGTTGATGACAATGTGAGAGGTTAAATTTCTACATAGTAACCATCTGGGTAATATAAAAATATCCGCCACAAAATTAAAAAAAATCAATGAAGAACCGTTTCCGACAACTTACCTTATATAAAGCAAATTATAAAACCTGTATGTAATTCCGAAAACCTCAACAAACCGTAGGCTGGGAGGAGTATATATCTGTCGGCAATACCCACTAACATTTTTTTACTTGTTATAAAATACCTTAAGTCTTTTGATACTGAGTAAAACCATATTATTTTTTTGTTGGGCATAACTTCATACTGCCGGCGGTATGGGTTTTCAAAAAAGAAATTTAAAAATAAACCCATTTGGTTTTCATTTGTTCGTCTTATGTGGAGTGTAACGGTTGTGTTTAAATTTAAAATTAAAAGAAAAATACGCACGGGTTTGTCACTTTTCCTGTCCATAGGAGAGTTTTAAGAAGTTCCGCTACTTAAATTTAAATTAAAATACAATTCTCTTCGCGTAGTCCAATTGTCCACAAGTTTTTATGGTCTATTATTGTAATTCTTTCGAATAGGAATCCAAATAAGACGTTTTTGGACCATAACATTGAGGATGGGGAGGCTTCGGTAATAAAAAAAACATAATAACCCAAGCTCAAAACATTTTTTTATTTATAAAAAAATGTTTTGAGCTTAATTTAATGTTTATATTTTGTTTTTATGTAAATGTGAAATCTAAAAATCTACCACCCCCTAATAAAGACCCACAGAAGCTTCATATCTTATCATTCAAAAATATACAATTTTTTCTAAATTCCCATGAAGAGTTTATTGCCAACAGCCAATATTTATCATCTCGTTTTGATGGGAACACGTAAACTTGAATGTTGTCTGCCTATCTTTAACCTTGAAATAGGAAGTTCAAATAATGTAAATCATAAGCCCAACGAATTGGATTAAAAAAATTATATAACAAATCTGTTTGCTATATGACACTGATTAAGTTTTCTGATATTAAATGAATATGAAATGAAAATTTTGTCAAAATTGAGCAACAATCATGATAAAAGTCCGGTACATATGTAAACAAAGCTTAATGATGGGAGTTATAATCGCAGCGAAATATATGACTGCATTTACACGGCGGTTTTTATTAAAACAAGTTTGTTGAAAACACAAATCTTCCACACCCTACTCCACATAAGAGGTGGAGTGTGGATACAATTTGTCATATCATTTCAAACATCTCGAAGTGATCGTTGGAGTCCCTTTCATTGTGTTGAAATTGTCATAGAGATTGAAAAGAAATTGAAAGAGTTTGGAAATTCCGACCATCATTGCTACTATTCATACGATGTTTTTTGTTATTGAATATCTGTCAAAGGGGCTGTATCTTGGCATTCCTCGGGAGTGTAAAAAATCCACACAGATCGATTGATTGATATGTGGAAGAGAAAGAGGCAGATGACTTAATCGAAAGGCTGAGGAGTTAAACGCCATATGTACTTATTTGTCGGAAAGACTATTACTGATGAAATGGGTAGATATTATTAAAGTCTAATTGGATAAAGTACATCATCTAACATCTGAAACAACACACTGGATCAGAAATGCTCATGTTACTCCCGCCTATGTCCAAAAATGACAAATCTAAATTAAGAGAGCATATGTTTGTTTAGATGAAGTGCCGACTGAATAATTTTTTTCAGGAAAAAATCTTCCCCAGTAGCTGAATTTTGTTTCCGATCGGAATATTCCATCCACAGGGGCTCAGGATTTTTTATTCTTACAGAAGAAGTCTTGTTTAGTTTCTGATAATTTTTCCCTATTAGAAAAAATCTTCCTTAGTTGCTGACTAATTTTTTTCCTATACGAAAAAAGTTTTCCTCAATGACAGGATTTTTTCCAATACGAATAGTCTTTCTCAATGGCCGAGGCTTTTTTCCCTATAGAAAAAAGTCCTAGAGGACTTAGAAAAATCTTCCTTAGTTGCTGACTATTTTTTTTCCTATACGAAAAAATTTTTCGTAGTGGCTGGCAATTTTGTTCCTATAAGAAAATAGTCTTCCTCAATGACAGGATTTTTTCCAATACGAATAGTCTTTCTCAATGGCCGAGGCTTTTTTCCCTATAGAAAAAAGTCCTAGAGGAAAAAATCTTCCTCAGAAGCTGAATAATTTTGTTCCTTTAGGAAAATGCCATCCTCATAGCTGAGGAAATTTGTTATCACAGGAAAAAGTCCTTTTTAGTTTCTGGCGATTTTTTTCCTATAAAAAACTGTTCCATAGTCGTGGACAGTTGTTTTCCAAACTTCCCAGCAGAGGCAACGGTATTGGCTAATGAGCGTGATGAGCTCCGTCGTACGACCCCTGAAGACCCAAGGTGGCGAGAAATTACCCTGGAAGTCAACAGACTGGAGCACCTGAAGCAAAGCAATATCAACGATAATGCTTAAGCAGCTGAATGAACCTGGAGTTGAGTATTTAACATTAGACCTCAAATTGTCGTTAACCAGCCAACATAGTTCCAGAATCCTGGAAAATGGGCAGTGTGGTCCCGCTACTGAAGCCTGGTACAAAGGTCTTTCGATGCAGGCATATAACAGTGCCCCTACGATTTGGAGTTCTTGGTAACCCCACCAACAAATGTCTGAGAGGTTCAACCAGGCCCCTTATTCCCTTTTTATACCTAGATTGTGGTACAGGGTATTATGCCTTTGTGCATATGTTTGTAACATGAAAAAAGATGTACCCATGGCTTTTGAGAATATGGATAGAATCACTTTCTGAGTCGATTTATGTGTGTCCGTCCGTCCATGTGAACAAAGTACAGGTCGCACATGCTCACTTATTTGCCTCAAGGACATATTGAAATTGGAGAACATCGGTTCAGATTTAGATATAGCTCCCATATATATTTTCGTCCGATTTTAGGTAAATGGTGCACCAAACTCCCAATATTTGTCCAATTGAGACAATATTTTGCACATACTACTGTATTAGGCCTAGATTGATGTAGGCGAAGTTTCGTTAAAATCGGTTCAGATTTCGATATAGCTCTCATATAGTTTCGTCCGATTTTATCTAAATGTAGCACAGCACCATATTGCCAATATTGTTCCGATTGAGACAAAATTTTGCACAGTGTACTGAATTAGGTCTAGATTGATGTGTGTTAAGTTTTGTTAAAATCGGTTCAGATTTCGATATAGCTCCCATATATAGTGTCGTCCGATTTTATCTAAATGGAGCACCATATTGCCAATATTGGTCCGATTGAGACAACATTTTTCACGGAGTACTGAATTAGGTCTAGATTCATGTATGCAAAGTTTTGTTGAAATCGGTTTAGATTTCGATGTAGCTGCCACATATACCTTCGTCCGATTTTATGTAAATAGTGCACCACACTGAAAATATTTATCCGATTGAGACAAACTTTTGCACAAAGTACTGAATTAGGTCTAGATTGATGTATGCGAATAGTTTCGTCCAATTTTCGCCAAATGGTGCACCAAACTCCCAATATTGGTCCGATTGAGACAAAATTTTGGTTTGAACTTTCCTAACTGGTTTGTTGTCCTAACAATGCTGTGTATATCGGAAATATCTGAAAAACCCCGACTAGAATATTTTGTTTATCTTTTTTATTTTTAATTTAAATTTGTCACATAAAAAAGGGGCTAACTTGGCTAGTTGTTTTATCAGAATGTGCTGTGCAGCGGTGGCCATAAACGACCGTTAAGATAAGCAATCCCTCCCATTCATTATTAATAACGTCTGTGCTTCTTCTTTAGCACAATTGTAAACATTTTTTTGCTGAGTAAACAAAAAACCGCATCATAATTACAAACTCTTGGTGGTAGAAGAACTGAACAATAGTCAGGTTACAAAAAGGAAGCCTTAACGTTAAAGATATGAAACATTTGTTGATATCGAAACGTTTACTTTAAAGTTTAATCACATTCGTAATATTACCAACCAAAAGAAAGAATTCCAGGGAATCATAAAGTTAAAGATATAAACCATTTGTTGTTGATACAGAAATGTTGGCTCTATAGTTGATGCACTTTCGCAAAACATATTTGCTGAAACAACGCAATATCTCACAATTCTTTGTGTTCGAATTCGTTTACATTGTTCTCATTTTTGTTATTTTTTTTTTTTTTATTTGCAGACTTGTAAAGTAAATATTTAACTAACTTTAAAATGGATATATCAGCTGCGACCGTTGTACCTCCCGATGGAGGTTGGGGCTGGGTTGTGGTGGCAGCCGTGGCCTTAATCAATGTAAGTATATTTTGTAAAAATACAAAATATAGAAATAGTAAAATTAATTAATGTTCAAATCTGTTCCTTCCTCTAGATGACAAATCAATCAATCTTATCCGTCTTTGGCCTGCTATTTGGGGCCCAGTTAAAGGAAATGCAACAGGAAACCTTTACGGCCGCCCTAATTACCAATCTCAATAGTTTGGCTTTGAATTTTTCGGGCCTCTTTATAGGGCCGGCCATTAAGAGTTTTAAGCCACGCAATGTGGCCGTTTGTGGCTGTGTAATGGTCTCGTTTGGCCTTAGTCTGTGTGCCTTTGCCACTGAGGGTTGGCATTTTATTGTGGGCTATAGTTTATTTGTAAGTCCAACAATGATTTTTTGTTATTAAAAAAATATAAAATATAATTATTAATTTATTTCCAGGTCGGTTTGGGTTTGGGCCTAATAGCCCCCTCAACATTTATGGCCATCAATTCATATTTTACCAGCAAACGAGGTCGCGCCGTTGGTGTCTCTCTGGCTGGAGCTGGTCTTGGCCAAGTTTTTATACCACACATTGTGCGATTTTTCCTTGATAATTATGGGTTTCGTATTGCTGTGTTGGCGATGTCAATACTCTCTCTTGTTGGTGTAAGTATAAAGCTGCCCTCATCATTATTTTTCAATTCACACAAATATTTACATTATTTTGCATATTTTTTATTTATTTATTTTTTTTACAGTTAATTGGTGCCCTTTTGTTAAAACCATTAACACCCAAGAAAACTGAACACAATAATCGTAAACATTTCACCATAATCCCCTCATCATCATCAGCAACAGCAGCAGACAAAGCCAAAGTCCAACGTGAGGACTCAGTTATGGAAATTAAAATTGTCCAGAATGATACGGATATGGATAAACAAAAATCGCAAGAGGTTTCTTTGTTACCACGCCAGGAGCGTATTGAAATTTATAAAGCCACAACAATGCCATTGGAAAAGACACCATCACCCTCGCCACCACGATCAACAGCCAGCTGTTGTGGCAGTGACTCATCATTGTGTCGCAAAATGTGTCAACGTGTTATCGAGGCTATGGATTTGGAATTATTAAAAGATCCCATCTTTTTGAGCATCATCATTGGCATGGCATTGGTCTATACATCAACGATAAATTTCACAATGATCTTTCCAAGCTTTTTGCAGGTAAGGAGACTATGTAATTATATTGAGGTTATTTAATGACTTTTTTAGGTTAGGGTCATATGATTTTTTTTTTCTATTTGAGGTTAGGTCGGAAAAAAACTTATAAAAACTTAAAATAAAAAGCTCAGTATTTATATTTATACAAAAAACGATAAAAATTAAAATTTTTTTTAATTTATATATATTTTAAAAATTTATTTTTTAACGTTTTGGGGGTTTTTTATTCGATTAGAAAATCTAATTTTAGGATAGAATCAAATAATTTGTTTTATTCAATTAGAAAAATCTAATTTTAGGTTATGATTCTTGATATTTGTATACCCTTCACCACACTGTGGTACGGGGTATTATGTCTTTGTGCATATGTTTGTAACAGGCAAAAGAAATCGAGATAGGCCCATAGTTCCTTTTGAGAATATGTATAGAATTACTTTCTGAGTCCATTTGTGCATCTCCATCCGTCCGTCCGTCTGCCCATGTATTTTTGTGAATAAAGTACAGGTCGCATTTATGATCCAATTTTAATAAAATTTGGCACCTGCCACTTATTTGGCCCAAGGAGGAACCCTATTGAATTTGGGAAAAACCGGATCAGATTTAGATATAGCTCCCATATATAGTTTCGTCCGATTTTATGTAAATGGTACACCAAACTCCCAATATTGGTCCGATTGAGACAAAATTTTGCACAGAGTACTGAATTGGGTCCAGATTGATGTATGCTAAGTTTCGCTGGAATCGGTTCAGATTTTGATATAGCTCTCATATATAGTTTCGTCCGATTTTATGTAAATGGAGCACCAAAGAGTCAGATTGATGTGTGTTAATTTTTGTTGAAATCGGTTCAGATTTAGATATAGCTCCCATATATAGTGTCGTCGGATTTTATGTAAATTGAGTACCATACTACCATTATTGCTTCGATTAAGACAAGATTTTGCACAGAGTACTGAATTAGGTCTAGATTTATGTGTGTTAAGTTTTGTTTGAATCGGTTCATATTTAGATATAGCTCCCATATAAAGTTTCGTCCGATTTTATGTAAATGGAGCACCATACTGCCAATATTTATCCGATTGAGACAAAATTTTGCACTAAGTACTGAATTAGGTCCAGATTGATGTATGCGAAGTTTTGTTGGAATCGGTTCATATTCAGATATAGCTCCCATATATAATTTCGTCCGATTTTATATAAATGAATCACCATACTGCCAATATTGTTACTGAATTAGGTCCAGATTGATTGTATGTAACCAAAGTGGTGATCATATAGTTGGCCCCGTCCGACTTTTGAACTTTCCCTACTGGTTTCCATTTGAGGTTAGGTCAGAAAAAAATTTAATTTAAAAAAAATGTTATAAAGTTTATAATTTAAAATATACCTTATAGAATTTATATTTTTTCTATTTTTTTATATTTAAAAAAATAGTTTTGAGGTTAGATCAGAAATAATTCTTGATGTTATAAAACCCTTTTCTTCTTAAAATATGAAATTTATTTAATTTAAAATTCCAATTTTAGGTTAGATTCGATCAATTTTTTGTTCAATTGGAAAAAAATAATTTTATTTTAAGATTATATACAGTTTTTCTATTTGAGGATAGGTCTGAAAAAATTATTTCGTTTTATAAAAACATCTAAAGTAAATGCTCAGAATTTATAATTCGAATAAAAAAATTACAAAAAGCGCTTATATATATTTAAATTTTTGTATATTTAAAAAGTTTTAAATTTGAGGTTAGAATCGAATAATTTTGTTTAATAAAAAAAAATATGTAAAATATCGTATTTTTTAATTATAGGACTCCGTTGGTTATACCACAAAAACCACAGCTACCTGTATGTCTATAATGGCAGGTGCTGATATCATTTGCCGACTTTTATTGCCCTGCATTACAGATAAATTGAAAATCCCTTATCGTCTTATTTTCTTATTGGGCACAGTGGGCTTGCTAATATCCAGAGCTGGTGAGTTAACAAAAATAATTTTAATTCAAATTTTACAATAGATAACTAACCTCAAAATTCCTTCCCTTCCTTTACAGCCCTTGCTGAATCGGTGGACCTCACCAGCATTATTGTTATGTCGATTTTTACCGGCATGACCAAATCAGCCACTGTTCTCAATAATAATCTAACAATTTCGGGTCACTGCAAACCGGAAAAGTTACCCGGTGGCCTGGGTCTAAATATGATTGCCAAAGGTGTACTAGTCATAAGTGTGGGTCAACTTCTCGGTTGGGTACGAGATTTTACCAAATCCTATGTGATATGTTTGCATGCACAAAATGCTTTATTGTTGTTTGTAATTTGTGTTTGGACCCCGGAAATGTTCTATAGATATCGTATATATCTTAAGGAGAAACGTCTTCAGAGGCTAAACAACGATGAGGAGGAGGTGGGGGCAAGCGCAAATGCACCACAACAGAAATTAAGTACTGATATGGATGTAGAAGGAGGAGAAGCAGAAGAACAACAAAGCCTGAATGACAACGCCAACAACACCACCTCATCAACAACAACTAAGCCAAAGCAATGTGACTGTTAGTTATTTACATACATATATAAATACTATATATTTTTTAATCATTAAGGAGAGCATAATTGTGAATTTATTATTATAATATTATTATTACTAAGACGGCATTTTTTTAAAGTATTATTAGACATAAGATAAGTTTGTCAGCAAATAGTGATTATTTTTTATGGAAAAAAAATCTATATGTGAAAAAAAAGATTTTGCACAATAATGGGTGGGTGTTTTGTAACAAATAAAATAATATATATTTAATAAAACTGTGGGAATAATCTAAAGTTTTTTTTATACACAATTCTAACTTGTGATATTGTCAATTTTTTATTACTTTTAAAGTTTATGTTTATATACTATGATATATAATATGTATAGTTTTATAAGGCAAATTATATTAACCATATAATGAATAAAATGAAGAAAAAAAACAAATATTAAAAAAACATATTTATTTTTGTTTAATTTCCTTTGGAAAATATAAGCATTATTTTATCGAATCGAATTTTAGGTTAGGATCGTACCATATTTTTTTTTATATTTGAGGTTAGGTTAGAATAAATATTTAATTAAAAAAAAGCCGATCAAATTTTTTATTCAATTAGAAATTTCTAATTTTATATTAGTATCATATCATTTATTTTCATTGGAGATTAAGTGAGAAAAAATTATTTAATGTTATAAAAACTCAGTATTTTGCATATTTAATTAGAAATGTAATCTGAACACAGAACATCAAATAAATGGATTCATCTGGGTAAACCCATTTTACCATCTACAAAAAATTTGCGAGGACATGAAGCGTTACGAAACTCACAGGTGTATGTAAAGGTGTAGAGGACTTTTTTAAGATTCAAAGAAACTATTCTCATCTAGCTATAAGAAATTCCAAACGAATATTCTGGTGTGACACCTGTTGAAACGTCTATTAAGATGCCATTTAAACCCCTCAAAAGGAAATGTGTTTTGTTTCGTCAACTGTACCTATGAGATGAAAAAACAAAATCTTTTTTCGACAGAATCAAAGCTTTTTTTTAATCTGATTCAAGTTTTACACCACCCTGGCCCATAGAACAAAGTATAATAATAAAGACTTTACGTAAAGTATAGTTCCGTTCCCGAACCTAAAAGAATCTACCGGGTAAAAAGGTAAACAGGAATGCCAACTTCTGATTGGCTGTTGTGTTGATTTTGAAGTATTGCCATCTAATTTTGGCATATTTACTAGATTTGCGTTCCCGAACTTTTCAAATTATTTTGTACTCTGAGAGCGAGTTTGAAATGTTTCCATTTTACTAGCTTTACTATTAAAAAAGTACTGGAACATACCATATATTTCAAATTATATATATGCAAAGTTTCCACTTTAAAGTTTTTGTAAAATGAAAAATAATTTTTTCTGACCTAACCTCAAATAGAAAAAAATAGATTTTTTTCTAAATGAATAAAAAATTAATAATATTTGTAACTAAAATTCAACTTTTAAATTAAATAAATATACAAATTTAAGATTTAAACTTTTTCAAAACACTAAATTTGATCTCTTTTTTCAATTATATTTTTTTGCCCTAACCTCAAATAGAATAAATATAGAATGCTAACAAAAAAATTAGAATTTTCTAATTGGATTAAAAAAATTAATCGATTCTTTATCGGTTAGAATCGATTCTTTTTTGACTTTCATCATTATACTTTTAAATAAATATGAAAATTTAAGAGTTAAAGGTTTTTAAAACACTGAACAATTATTTTTGATCTAATCTCAAATCTGAAACCTTTAAAAGATAAAACAAAATAAAAATAACTATGATTTTAATCACTTTTTTCAATTAAATAATTTTCTGACCTAACCTCAAATAGAACAAATATACAATCCTGACCAGAGATGGCCTGTCAGAAACAGTGACGTAAATGACATACATTTCCGACGAATAATACATACGTCAGAAACGTCGGAAACCTACCCAAATCCATTACGTTTTTGACAAAATAGCTATTTCCATTAATCAATTTGGAAATTACGCATGCTTTACTCAAATCCATATAAAATTTCAAAATTTTCTTCTCGAAAAATTTAAAAATTTGTTATCAGTTCTAGTAAGGAATAGTCAGATATATGTAAAAATAATATATATTCTTGAAAATAACTGTGTATGCTGATAATATTGATATAAATGACGTTTACCACGTTTATTACATTTTATACAGGTATATGACGTTTTCGACGTTTACACCTTTTTGACAGTCGAAAAACTAAAAATTCGTCACACGGGCCATCCCTGATCCTGACCTAAAATTAGGATTTTCTAATTAAATAAAAAATATAAAAAGATTAGAATTTAATAATTTTTTTCACTAAAAAGTTTTTATACAATTAAATAATTTTTTTTCTGACCTAACCTCAAATAGAAAAAAATTATATTATCCTAACCTAAAATTAGATTTTTCTAATTGAACAGAAAATGATTAGAATCTAGCCTAAAACTGGACTTTTAAATTAAACTAATTTATAAATTAAAAAGTTAAACGATTTCCAAAAACTAAAAAATTATATCTGATCTAACCTCAAATGTGAAAATTTTTTAAAATATAAAAAAATGAAAAAAAAAATTGTAAATTAAATTTTTTTTGTAAATGTTTGTGGCCTAACCTCAAATAAAGCAAATATACAATCCCAACATAATATTAGAATTTTCCAATTGAATCAAAAAATGATACGATTCTAACCTAAAATTAGATTTTTAAATAAAATTAATATACAATTTAAGAGTTAAACATTTTCGAAACACTAAACAATTATTTCAGATCCAACTTCAAATATGATTTTTTTCTAAATAAAAAAATGAAAATGAAGAAAAAAATATTTTTTTTTAAATTAAATATTTTTTTTAAACCTCAAATGGAGCATAAAAATTTAAGTAACAAATATTTCAAAACACTCAACATTTATTTCTTATCTAATCTCAAATCTAAAATTTAAAGTTTTTTTTGCTTTAATTTTTAAAAAGTATTAATTTAATCGTTTTCTGTGAATAAATATTTTTTCTGATTTAACCTTAAAAAATTAATCTATTCTAACCAAAAATTAGACGTTTTCAAAACACAAAACAATCATTTCTGATCTAACCTCAAATCCAAAACTTTTTTAAACAAAAAATTAGAAAAATAATATAATTCTTATCGCTTTTTGTAAATTATATATGCAACCAACTGAGCTTCACCTTAAAAACTTTTATAAAAATATTTTTTTCTGACCTAACCTCAAATAGAAAAAAAAATAACACGATCCTAACATGATTTTAGATTTTTCGAATAAATATTTTTTTTTAATTCGGTCGGAGTTTTCACATGTAACTTTCGTAAGCAACTCAGTTGAATTCGATGGAGAGAGATAAGAAAAGTGGCTTGTGTAACTCCCAAGTAACCAAGTCCTCAAATTTGAATTTCGAAAATGAATAGAGAACATATGATTGGGACACAAAAATTACTTACCTTTGTCGTTTAAATTTTAGCTGCTTCCCAGAGTCGACCAAATTTGTTTCTTCAACAACTATTTCGGATTAATCTTCCCGAGGAATTGTCGAGCGAATTGTTTTGAAGTAGTTTGTTGTAAAAATGTATATATTTATTGTTAGTTCATATTTAGAATTATACTGATGAAGTTTATTTTGACACAGTTTTAATAAAATTGATCGATTTTGAGTGACTTGGTAGGAAACTTTCTAGCCCACCATATCCTAAAAAGTAAAAATCCTTGAAAAAATGCTCATTGATATTTCCACAGGTGCCTCGATGAGTTCATAACCATAACTTTATATGTTTAGCTTCTTTGAAGCCCCATAATGATTTTAAGTTTTATTTTCCATTACATTTTAAATTTATTACAAAAGTGTTTTTTTAATATTCAATAAACCGAAATATATATATAGGTGTGTACTTTTTATTGACCGGCAACGATGGCCTCACCAGATTCAGTGTTGAAGAATAATTTACGTTCAATGCCATCCTGTGTAATAATGCCAATACGTACAACACCACCGGAGCTACCATCGTGATACATAGCATGGCGGACGGCTGAAAACAAGGAAATGAGAAAATATCATGTTTTTTAAGTGATAATATTGTTATAGATTTCTGCTATATATAGTTAACATTTAAATATTAGTCCTGATTATTCTTAGAATATTCTAATTACAATTCGGTATTTTTTTTTTTTTTTTGATGCCTGAGTTGACGAGAATTTCAGCAATCTTAGGAAATCCAGGAAGTAAAATTGCCTAATGTAAAACAGGACTTACATTAACGGTTAAAAAATCTTGTGGATCTGGTCATATTAAATAAATTCTTGTTATAACAATAGTCGCCGATTTCATGAGCGTTCTATTATTGCCATAATTAATTTGTTTATCATACACACACACTTACCTTTCTTAACGAATTCCACACAATCGTCCTTCTTCATGTTCGGCTTAAAGAATTCCCTTACGAAACCATAAATATAACTCGAACCCGAACCACCAATTGTGCAGGCTTCACGTTTCAACATACCGCCCAATGGTATCGAATACACCTGACCGCCATTCTTTTTATCCCAACCGGCCACAATGATACCAGCTACCAATGAATCTCTATAGTTATAACAATAGTTACGGAATTCGGAAGCAGCTTCCGCAACCAAAGGCTCCTCGCCTGTTTGATTTTCATGATAGTTCAGTGAGTAGGCAACAATATCGGCAATAGCCTGGGTGTCAGCAGCCGAACCACTGCGACAGCAATAGATTTTGTCAGTAATGCGTGTCAATTTATCGGTGACTCTGTTTGCAACATAGACTCCGGTACTGGTACGTGAATCGGCACCAATGACAACACCACCATCGAACTCCACGGCCATGATAGTGGTCTGGAAATGGGGATCCAAAAAGTACAAATTAATTTAATTTGAAATTTAATTGGGATGCTATTCTTTAACTACTTACACCAGTGCTGTGGGCAGCATCCATCCAGTCATTTCCAAAAACCATGTTTAGGGATTTATTTTAATGGGTTTTCTTAATGAAAATGTAAAAAATTCTTTCCGGCTATTCGCAAATTGGTCTTTTGCAAAATGACTTGAATGTTTTTTGGTTTGCTTCTTATTTTCCTATGACGCCATTCACTGATGGTTGATAGTTCCGATTGATTTCATTAGGTGTATTCACATGTTGCGAACGTATTAAATAACATAAATCCAGTGGTACCCAAACTGTGGTATATTTGTTATTGTTACAATTTTGTTGTGGAGCTCAGAAATATTTAATAGTACGTTTACATCGCACTGGATTTCGTTAACTATATTGTCAATTTCATTGCATATATGTCAAATAACTCCTCACAGAGGAGGTTAACATGAAAACAATTCTAATGTTAATGCGCTTTAAAAGGGATTGAAGTAAAACGACATTTATAGTACAGTGGGGTTTAAAAGTCAATTCCATTACACATTTGTCAAATAAATCCTCAAAAAGAAGGTTAACCCCTGTAAAAAGTTCTAAAATACGTGTCGTTTTAGATTATAACTCTTTTGCAGGTTAACATACTTCATGAGGATTTATTTGGCATATATTAAAAGGAATTATCAATTCAAACCACCCAATATATATATATATATAATTTAATGGAAATGAAATTGATTTTACCGCGTTATGCTGCGTTTATACTTACGAAATCCACTCGATCTCAAATGTCACTTCCATGGCGTATACATCAAATATAATCCACTGGATTTGTACCATAATACAAGGAAGGGCAGCTTGGGTTGAATAACAAAAAAGCAACTATGTATGTGGTGGCTTCATCTGCCAAAATATAAAATATAAATTCGCAACAAGTTGATGTGTTTTTTTTTTTTGACATTTTGTCAACACTACAAACCCGAAAAATGAACGAAAGCTTATGATTTCATTCCGAAATCCAGTAGGGAATACCGAAATATTTGTTTCATCCATACCAAAGTAATTACTTCCAGACGGACGCGTTAGAAATATCATTTTCATATCAATTAAATTTAAATATATTTCAATTTATTTTGAATTTATTTGACATAGTATTCAAAACAATACACAAACATACACAAAATATGTATTTTGATGTGAGGATAAATTTTAATCAGTTGGTAGCTGTGCCCTACCTTGTAATAACCATGGATGATGCCATGTGGGTATATACAGCCCATGACATATGTAGTTTATATTTACTATAAAAGCGGATTTACATATAAGATTTGATCATGATTTCTTAATCAGGCTAAATTTACCATGATTTACCATACAAAATTAAATCATCGTGCGGCATGGTTTATTTTAAATTATGATCGAAATCATGATATTACTGAGATGCAACGCGGTTTTTGTGCTAAAAAATACAACTCTCTCACAATGTACCAACATTCACATGTTGTTTGTTTTTAAATTTAACGGTAACCAAAAAATTAAATAACAATTATTTATAGATTTTTTTATTTTTCGTTGTTTTTTAAAATTTCTAAACGATCGCACCATTGCAAAAACATTTCCATTGTTGTAATTCTTCGTTTCATGTTCAAATTGCAAACAAATATTTTTGCAGCAAGTTTATAATTTTGTATGTATACTAACAAACATCAGCTGATCCGTATTTAAATCATGATTAAAGGTATGTGTAAACAATTAGGGCGTATTTCTGGATTTCGTTAATCGAGTCGATTTAAAATCGTATATGTAAATGTACTTTAATATTTGTATACAAAATTCCAATATTCTAAAGTTTTTTACCAGATCAACAGAGTCTTTTTTGGTCTAGCAATTTTTGCACCATATATAAGTATAAATAAAAGGTATAAATTATAACAATAATTTATCGAATACTTTTTCGATTGTTTTAAAATGTTGTTGTCTCTCACTTTACATTTATGTTGTTTGAATTATTTTTTATGGTGCTTTTACACAATTTGTATGTATTTTACATGTGTGCTGTCGCTTTGTATTTTTCATATGACATAACCTATAAACAAGACAACACCTTTATTTTTTCTTAAATCAATATAATTTTTTTATTTAACACCTATAAATGAAATAACAATTTATAATTTTTGCCTTTTCATTCTTTTCTCGGACTTGCAATTCAAATATATTCATCCCACAAACAGGTGATTTCCTTATGTTTCACATGCAAATCTAGAGCGCGCCCTATCGGAACAAATACATATGTAATTACATATCGTTATGACACATTGAAATTTCCGTATGTTTCACACGACGAGTTCGAGTTGCATATGTAAGTAAAGTGACAGTACATGTGTGAAATACATATATGTAGTGTAAAAAAACTTAAAGTTGGCTTTGTTTAAAGTAAAAAGAATAAAGGTGTTCAAAATTGAGTTTGACTCTGATGTTCCTTTATTTTTTATGTTCAATTTTTTAGTTAACTTTTATGTCATTTGAATTATTATTTACTATTTCGCTTGTGAATATCATGTATTTTTCCATGTTTGCAGCTCTCTTTTGACGATAATAGATTTATATAAACCTATTGACACTTTTCGATCTATGTAGCCCTAATATCATGTTTTTGCCGGGTATTTTGTTTTGATTCCTAATCTTTATCAACTTGTTTCTTTTTCTTCATATTTTGTACTTCAAATATACCTTTTTGGAAGCATCAAGTGAGTGTTTGGAATTTAATTTTTTATCAAAAAAGAATAAAATTGAAACAAAAAAATGCTTAGCTTAGTTGTCAGAAGTAAATATTTGCATGAACATGCTTAGATTATTAGGGCAGTGAAACAATGTTTAAGTGGGATTCGATGTAATGATGGTTGGCGCTCCCACGTGTTTGCCTTTTTTGGGGGTATGGGCAGAAGGGCTAGATACATATGGACATATGGCTGTTGGAGCACCAATAATGCTACAGAATGATTTGGGTGTGACATTGGTTGGTCTAGTAGAACTCTTTTTAAGACACAACGTAGTTATTAATTCATATCTAAAAAAACAATAAACATGGATCACAATAATGGACTCCTGATTCATCCACTTCTAACTTGGGATTAACACCATCCAACAACATATGACTCTAACAAATACCTGTACTTATTTAAACTTTTATCCACTAGATTGGGAAACATCACAGGAAAGCCTTTTTGATATCTCGATATTATGGCAAATGTGGCATTAAGTGAAGCTGAAAAAACCTTCATACTACATGGAGTGGAGGTAAGTCTTCAAATATTCTTCAATTATTTATATTTTTATTGATTCATATTCATTATTTTCTGCAGGAGGATTTTCGTTGTGATGGTCGTTCCCGTCGTGATTATCGTCCAATGGAATTGGAATGTGAAATTGTAAATAACGCCAGTGGATCGGCCAGATTGCGTTTGGCCAACACAGATATTTTGGTAGGAGTTAAATGTGAAATTGATACACCGACCTCGTTACATCCCGATCAGGGAAAAATTGAGTTTTTCGTTGATTGGTAAGTGGAATTTGGAAAAAAAATTCTGAAATGTTTTTAAAATATTTTTGGTATTGGAACCACTCTAGTTTAGGGAAAATGATCACATTTTTTTTTTTAAATTACCAGAGGAGGTATTCTTACCCTAATTATGGGGACGTACCCCGTTATTTGGGTAACCGGGTACCCCAAGAAAAAAATATATCCCCATAATTAGGGTAAAAATGCCTAACTCTGGCAAAATTTTCAAAAAAATCTGATCGTTTTTTTACTAAACTACCAAATTTTTCAGGGATCAGTAAAGGGTGTGGATTAAAAATTTATTTTTAAGGGATCTTTATTTGATGCGGTTTATAGGATTTTTTCAGAGATATTTATTGCACGAGATTATTTTAACTACAATATATATATATAAAAGGTCGAAGGAATAATTTTGCGAATTTTCCAATTGGCTAGTTAAGTGAACTGAATATTATCGTCTCGGGAACGGTGATGAACGAATCTAGTTCAAGTGTTTTAGTCTCACTTTTTTCTTTACAGTTCAGCCAATGCCACACCCGAATTCGAGGGCAGAGGTGGTGAAGAATTAGCCCTAGAACTTGCGGACACCTTAACAAATGCCTATGAGTCTCCGTCGGCCTTTGACCTTAAATCCTTATGTATACTGCCGGGACAACATTGTTGGAAACTTTATGTGGATATTTTGGTAAGACATTTTAGGGTGAATGCTCATATTTTTTCTTTTAAATAAATTTTCTTCTAGATTTTAGAATGTGGTGGAAATCTATTCGATGCCGTCTCGTTGGCATCCAAGGCCGCCATCTTTAATACAAGAATACCTAAAGTTACAGCTGCTGTCATGGATGCTGGAGAGGCTGAACTGCTTATATCAGATGATCCATATAATTGTACACGTATACATATTGATAATATACCCATATTGGTAACCGTCTGTAAAATTGGAGATTGTTGTGTCGTAGATCCCTCAGCGGAAGAAGAACAATGTAGTACAGCAAGTTTGGTGGTTGGCGTTTCGAAAAGAAATAATAAATGTGAGTAATACATCTGCTATATCAGAAGGATCCGCCTCTGAATGAATGAATTTGCATTTTTTACAAAATCTGAAATCCATTTTTTATTAACAAAAATATTTTCTAATTTTTAGGTTATGTCTCCCATACACACACCGTTGGCGGTGGATCGTTACACAAAGATACCATGTATAAATGTTTAACATTGGGCGTTACAGCTGGCGAGACCCTCAATGATGCCTTGGAGAAAGCTCTACGACTGGAGGAATCCCGTGTTGGTGACAAAAGAAAAGAAACTGTGGGATTTTTAAAATAAATAATTGTGAAGTTCAGTTTTGTCTTGTTTTCTTTTTATTCAAGCTACTAACATAAGAAGTAGCCTATCGTTTGAATAAGTTTCTATAATTTTATTACAAAAAGAATCAATTTATGTAGTATTTAATAGTAATGTTTCTTTTTTTGATATTTGTATGTATTACGCATTAATAAACTAATACACAATTTCCTAAAATTTTCACTCTAATGACTAGTTCCTCTTTTTGGTCTGTTTCGTACCGGATGAGGGTTTCTTTTCTTTTTCCAATTGCTTGGGAGGATTGCCGGTGAATAGCGATGTTATCATTTCACTTATTTCGGGCATTTCATTGTTCATTTTGGGGAATTGCATATTTTCTAATTCTTTTTTCGTCTCGGGGTCATTGATCATTTTGGGTAAGACCCACATCAGCAATAGGGGTACCACCATCATCAATACCATGGGACTGAAGAGGAAATCGGTGATCTGAAAAAAAAAATAAACAACAAATCAATATCCTCTGTAATAATGAATACCGTATTCCCAACTCACCTTCCACTGTTCTCTGGTTTGGAAATACTTGAATCTAGTCAATGCCTTCAATTTCAATGGATAAGGCACCTGTACAATCTGTGATGGCTGTACATAATTCACTTTGCGTGCACGAAATTTACCCTTGGGATTAATTTCTACTCTGACCGGTTCATAGAAATAATCTGGATTATTGATTTCCACAACATAACTTCCCGAAGGCACTGAACTAATAATGAAGGAACCATCTTCCCTTATGAAACCTTTGTATTCACCATTATTAATGGAGAGCACAGTGTCAGCTTGCCATTTATTGTTGGGAATGGCATTGGGATTATAGCTCATCTGTTGTGCCTCTGGGGGATAGACTTTACCCTCAATTGTAAATAGACCGGATACTTCATCCTATGCAGCAGCAGCAGCGGCAGCAAGTGAAAAGACGTGTTCAAGTTCATTAATTAGTAAAAAAAATAAGGGAATGCAATGCGAAATGTCATCCACTTCCACTTACCACCAATTCATCTTGAATTGTCAAATCTCCATTGGCCATACATGCCACAGCGAATAGAGCTAAAAGCTCTAGTAAGAATTTTGATCTCATATCTGTTTTTCAATTGTTTCTAATTCGTAAATTAGTTAAATTTTAATGTGAAAAATTATTCTTCGTTCACGAGACCAGAGTTGGGAGCCGGTTATAAAGGAACTCGACGGCGTGCCGTTGGCTTTGATTCAGCTGTCATTTAACGCCGTTAGATAATGGCGCGTTCTATGCAATGTAGGGGTTTACACGTTGAATGTTTTAGTGTGTGAAATTAACTTCTGTAATAGGGAGATGAAAAACGTGGAAAATGCATTTGTATTCCCAAAAAAAAGACACAGATTTTCCTTAAATAAAAGTAATAAAATCCAAAATTTAAAAAAAAGAAGGGGTATTGCGGTGCATTTACATTTGACATTTTTTCAACACAAAACTAAAAACGCGAAAAATGAATGAAAGGTTATGATTTCTTTCCAAAATGCAGTAGGGAATATCATCAAATGTTTGTTTCATCCATAACAAAGTAATTACTTCCAGACGAACATGTTAAAAACAAAATTTTCATTTCAATTAAATTTGAATATATTTATTTTGAATTTCTTTGACATAGTATTCAAAACAATACACACACATACACAAAATATGTATTTTAATTTGATGGAACAAGCCACCTTGAGATTAAATTGTAATCAGTTGGTAGCTGTGCTCTACCTTGTAATAATTATACCATGCGTACAAGTCGTTTTATACGGCAATTTTTTTAAAACATTTTTTTTTTTCAATATTTAGCCTATTGACTTAGTCTATTGGTTATACTATCCATTCCAAATCGACTCGATTTGTTTAGACTAGAATTAAAATGATATAAATTTGACAGTCAGCTGTTATTTGTTTACGTATTAATAAAAATTTCACTGGTTTCATAATTTGAATTATTTTTAAGAAGAATTCGCTGTTTGGATCACCTGACATTTGGGTCATTATTATGATTAAAAAAAAAAACAGTTTCGTAGTTGGGCGACTATTCTAAAAGAAAACAAAAGACATACATAACGTACTGTCAATTTGTTACATTTAGGGGAAATGATGTGTGTTTTCTTTAAAAAGCTGTGTATACTATAGTTTTTATTGTGATAAAGTGCATTATCTCGATTTAATTGCAAAAAAAATTAACAAAATTAAATCCACTCAATATCTGGAAATCCTATGCTAGATCGAGTTTATTTCAAATACAACCCTGTTTTTGCATCAAAAAATAATCACGTCTCCTTAAAGTATGCTACAAAATACGATACAATTAAAAAATAATATTCCACCACAAATATGGCTGCTGATGAAAAAAACGATTTTTTTTATTTATAATTAATATTAGCTCTGTCTGTTTACTCGATATTTGGTAACAATTGTTGCCAAATGCTACTAAAACGGCATATACATTAGAACTTTTTACCGGGTTAACCTACTTTATGAAGATTTATTTGACATATATGCAACGGAATTGACCATGGCACAATGAATAGGTAGTCCATTTAGCGCAGCTGATGTCTTGATTAACTGTCAACGTGGGTAATTTCTACTTGAATTCGATGTGCAGTGTTGCCAACCGTTTGTAATATTATTTGGAAAATTTTGACAGATAGTCGAGACAAAAACAAAGGTTTTTGTTGGTATACATCCCCTTATTATTGCATCATGGAATTGACAATTGAAACTCGCTGGGTTAACGAAATCCGGTTAAATGTAAACGTACTATAAATGTTGTCTGTTTACCCAAAAATCCAGTAAGAGAGAGTCAAGTGAGAGAGCAAGTTTGACAACAAATCAACATTTTTGGATCAGCTGTTTTATGACCAAACACAAAAATTATTTAAAACATTTTTTTTTTAATTTGCAAAGTTCAATTTGATGTTTAGTTGTATAGAAATTACAGAAAATGGAAGAAATTCGTTAGTAATGCAAAGTTTCATTAAATTAGAAACTAATTCTTTATATTTTAAGACAAGTTCCAGAAAGAGGGCAACGTATTGCTGCAGGAAGCTTAAATGTTCCCGGGGAACATACCAAATCAATTTTTCTTTTATTGTTGATTTTATTTTTAATATTAAATGCAATGCAAATAATTGTGTTCGTCCTTTGTTTGTTGTTTATTTTGGCGCAAATAAAATGTTTTCTTGAATCAGCTGTTTATTTGCTAAATCTTACTAAATGTTGTCTGTTTACTTTTCTCAGTATTATCGCAAAAGAGAGTAAAAACGTCCTACTCTCTGAACTAGAACTTACTGAGTAATTGTTACTGGAAAAGTAACCAGACACACCAATTACTATAATTTAATAAAATAATTTGTATTAAAATTAAAAACAAACCTAATAGCAAAACTGACACAGAAATGATGGAAGAATTGAAATGTGTATGTATACGTAAACAAATAACTGCTGACAAATCAACTTTATATCATTTCAATAGTAGTCTTAGAGAACGTTTAGACTACTAAATCAACTCGATCTCAAATATTTATTATATATTTTATAAATGTCAAATAAATCCTTGATAAATAGTTCAAATGTAAATTCCGTTTTAAACGACTTAGAAGGTATTGTCTAAACTCGCTTTAATACACATCACAATCAAATCTATAACTTAAAAGCGCCTTAATAATAAAGGACATTTTCTTAATATCAACCAATGCATTTGTGTTGGCCTTTGCTGTGTTGAATTCAGCTAACCGCAAAAAGAAAGAAATACCCCAAGGAAATTCCATAAATGCGTTCTACCACAATGCCTCAAAAGCTCCGATTGCCAAACTAGCCAAACAACATTATTTATGCAAATCACTCGCAAGAGTTTGATATTTTGAGAGAGTTTTTTAAGATCATGAGTCATCAGTAAGTGAGAATGAATTTATTAGCAATATTCAATGTAAAACTCAAATATTAATAAAAAAAGAAGTGACTGAGATATTGTGTCTGTGTCAGGGATGGGAAATCGATTCACTTAATACTTCATATAAATTCCATCAAGAACTTAACTCATTTGGCGTCATCGTTCTTTTAAAAGAACCCTAATAATGGCAAAACCACTGCTTGAAAACAATCATTATCTCACTGAATTGCTATAAATTAGCTAGCATCATGGTAAAACGCAAAAAATAAGAATTTCTTAATAGAATATTTATTTAAGTTATTTAAGTGAGCGGAGCAGTATAGTCGGACGGGGCCGACCATACGATACCCTACACAACTACCACTAAACTCAAATTTTCTACGGATGTGTATTCCGAGTCTGGGCAATATTTCGTGATATTTGCACACTCTTGCCCGATTAGAGGTAAACAGCACCTCTTCCTCACACTGACATATTTTCCGAATATTACGAGTATTCAGTACAGTTATTGTCCAGATTCCCTTTACCGAGGGTTTTGTTTTTGTAGATCGACTCGAAAATAACACAAAAAATTAAGTTTTCGGTCCACTTCATTCCAAAATTATTATCTGATCATCGTCGAAAATTGTAGGCGTTGTCCTTGACCATAACTGGAACCTCATGAAGAATTTCAAAGCGATCAGCGCTATGTTCGGCTCTCTAGAGTGATAATGGGTTACTAAATAACATAAAAATACGGAGATACCTGTAAATATTTAGGTGTAACTCCCACATCAGAGCACATGCATAATTGGTCTTAATTTAAAGGTCAACCACTCCTCTTGGATATAATATCAACTTTTCGGGTCTATGTCCTTCAGGGGTAAATATATACGCTATAGAATACAAATTTTGTCATTTTTCACACAAAAGTCAGGGTCCATTTGACCCGCTAAATTTTGACCGATCTTTATTAAAACAGGCATGCTTATTCTTTGGCCCGACCCCCTTCTCCATGCAAAATTTCACGATGTTCGGGCCATTATTGCGGCCTGTGGAGCGACCAGAAAAACCGACAAAAATTTAGTATTTGTTCCATTTCATCCCCTAAATATTAACCGATCTTTCCCAAAAACAATAGGGGTCTTCATTGGCCAGAACCCATCCTACATGCAAAATTTCGTGAAGATTGGTCCATAACTGTGGCCTGTATCGTGTTTACAAATTATAATGGACAGACGGACGGACGGACACACATGTCTAGATCGACTCAGCTAGTCGAGATATGACGATCGGTATACTTAAAGGTGGTTCTAGGACCAATATTTCGCGGCGTTACAAACTTTTGGGGCTGCACAAAGCTATAATACCCTGACAACATAGTTGTGTAGGTTATAAAAATATCTGGAGAAGAAAGAACAAACTACTACGATTATTATGCTGAAAAAAGCGATAGTGATTCGTATCCGGCTGCCCGCTTATATCTGTACGACAGATGACCCATCAATACCACGTTTTGATCGATCAAGACAAATTACAGCATTTGAAAAATGTTCCTAGGACTATTAAAATACCGGTACTATTGGCACGAAATTTGGCATAACGTACTGAATAGAGACTAGTGTGATGTCTGCTAAGTTTCGTGAAAATCGATCCAGATCGGTTTAGATTTAGATATAGCTCCCATATATAGTTTCGTCCGATTTCATGTAAATGGTGTATCAAAGTCCCTATATATCTTTCGATTTTTACGAAATTTGGCATAACGTACTGAATTGAGCCTAGAGTGATGCGTGCCAAGTTTCATGGAAATCGGTCCAGATTTAGATATAGCTCCCATATATATTTTCGTCCGATTTCATGTGAATGGTGCACCAAAGTCCCTGTATGTCTTTTGATTTGCACGAAATTTGGTATAACGTACTGAATAGAGACTAGTGGGTCCGATTTCATGTAATTGGTTCACTAAAGTCCCTATATATCTTTCGATTTGCACGAAATTTGGCATGACGTACTGAATTGAGCCTAGAGTGATGTCTGCCAAGCTTCGTGAAAAATTACCCAATTTGACAGTTAATCGAGACATCGGCTGCGCTAAATGTACTACCCATGATGCAATAATGGGTTTTTGTTTCGATTATCTGTCAAAATTTTCCATATAATATCTCAAATGGTTGGCAACACTGCATATCGAATTCAAGTAAAAA